ATCAATTTAAAGGGTAATAAAATAATTGCTGATGTAATATTTTCCCTATAATTATTACAAAAACACTAAATTAGTAAAAACAAGTATTTATATTCATGTATAAGCTGTTTAGATTGTCAAAAAGCCTGTGTTTTTAGGGTTATTAACGAAGTTCATGAACTCAGACCAGTAATATTTGGGGTCGCAAGTTTTTGCCGTGGATATTTTGTGGGTCAGAAGATAAAAAGTTTGGGAACCACTGCTTTACWCTACAGTTTGTGCCCTATTTTACATTACCTACTTACCTACACATTCAATTCTATTTAGTTCAGTTGTTGTAGCTCCAAKTCACAGCAAATGTTGTCTCAGGACACTGTGCAAAAATACATCTAAGGAAGCCAGCAGATCACGTTGAATCACTTCATCACAGTCTCCCATCCTGAGCAAAYTCATGCCAAACTTCCTGTTACTGTCTCTGATTCTCTGTCAGATGCAGCTTTAGTGTCACTGGAACCTGATTTAAGTTTGGACAGTTTTTGTCCTGTTGAGCTCTGAATTCTCTAAAATAATAGCTTCATCCAAACCATCAACATGTCTGCTAGATCCCATCCCAACCAGAGTGTTTAAAGAAACATTTCCCTTAATTAATATTTATATTTTAGATACACTTAATTTATCTCTAATGGATGGTTATGTGCCACAGAGCTTTAAGGTTGCTGTAATTAAACCTTTACTTAAGAAACCTGATCTTGATTCAAGAGATCTGGCCAACTATAGACCTATATCTAATCTCCCATTCATCTCAAAATTTTTTGAGAAAATAGTTGCAAATCAACTACATCTGGATAGAAATAATCTATACGAGCTCAGTCAGGGTTTAGCACTAGTTTGACTAAGGCTGCGCTTTTTTGCACAAGAGATCGTGGCCTCTACATCGCCCGCTCCTCTGCTGTGAGCCACATAGTGTCTAATAATATGCTAAAGAGCCACAGCTAACCCTAACCACTGCTCACCTACATATCCCCCCTCAGCCCAAACTCTGCAGACATAGCTGAGCGAATCAAGATACATAAACAGGAATTGGCAGCAAGTTTTATTTACAATATTTACAAAAACRGCTCACACAAGCAATATATACATTTTGTTTTTACAACAAAGAAAGATGTTTGTGTGTAGATGTAGCTCACGTCTAACACTTATTACACACCCAGTTTTCCTCCTTTCTTCATTTGCAACAGGTATATTTCTTGAAAATTGCACACTGTTTTGTGCTGCTGTTTCTTTTGCAGAGTGTCTGAACCTGACCCCGTGTCGTCTTTCCAGTTCCAGGCTGGGGACGTGGCTTTTTCATCATGGCCTTTTCCAGCATAAAACGCTGTTGAAATTCCAGTGCAAGGCCGTCTATAAAGTCTCTTCTGCTCTCTATAAAAAAWTTTTACTGTAGCTCTGAAAAGGCAGTGGCATCCAGTTTTGTTCTTTGCAACACACCACATCTTCAGAGCAAAAACTTGCAAACAGGAGCCCTTGAGAAACAGACTGAGAATATCCATCGGGCGTAGTGGGCGTGGTGGGTGTGACTGGATTAGCTGCAGGCATATGTATTACAAAAGGCAACTAATAGTCGTCAGATTGCTAAGCAGAAGGAGGGGGTTTGTGCTCAGGATCTCAAAATTCCAGTCTCTTTAGCTCATCATAGCACAGAAACAGCACTGGTGAAAGTTACTAATGATATTCTCAGGGCCTCAGACAGTGGACTTGTGTCCATTCTTGTCC